ACGTGCAACACTTGAGCTCACCGCAATAGCAGTGGAGGTGGCTACAAGGTTATTACAGTGGTACACTATGTACTACAGTTAATTTTATGCAGTTATGATTTCATACTGCATCTTTGTTTATATTTTTTTCCACTGTGAATGGCGCCACATACAGTCTATAAATTTTTATGCAAAACTTTTAATAAATTTTAATTTTTTTATAATATGTTTCTATATATTTTGCGGTAAATGATAAAATTTATCTGTATTTTATGCATTCATGACACGCCTTTTTCTTAACTTTTTCACTCTTTCTAGGCTACGCAGTTCATCTGCGAGTTTTTTCAAACTATTGCAAATCACCAAAAAATTTCCCAATATATTTATTGAAAAAAGTCCATATATAAGTTGAACAACACGGTTCAAACCCATGTTATTCAAGGGTCAACTGTAATTGCAAGTTTAATCCAAAATGCTGTAATAATTTACAGTACCACAAAAGTTTATAAGAATGATTATTTTCTCACAAGCTTAAAATGAGATAATCTACCATTTATACATTCTTTCACAAATATTTATAGAGGAGCTACTTTTACTAAAGCATTGTAATAAGCATTAAGGATGCAGTGCTTAATAAGATAATCAAGGAGCTTGCATTTCAGCGGGGAGAAAGTTTATACACACACACACACACATGTAATCATTTTAAGATATGGAAAAGTGTTACAGAGCAAAATAAAATGGAGTAGGGAAATAAGGCAAAGATTATTTCATGTAGCATTATAAGGGAAAACCCCTCTAAACAGGGACTGACTGAAGTACCGAAGTAACAAGACTACATGGGAAAAGAGTTTTCTAAGAATGGGGAATAGGTGGGGCTTGAGAATGCCTGAGCGAGGATATGGCATAATCTTTCTAAAAAGAAATAATAAACCTGGACAAAACTGTCAATAAACAACCGTTTAAATTTTCTGGACCTTGACCAAAGCATACAACAAATTGAGAAGCATTTAAGAAAATGTACTGAACTTCTATAGGAATGGTGGATGTCTGTGATGTGTTAACTCGGTGCCACTCTGGTTTTTCCCAGCCACTGCCCCCAGGTTCCATTTGCAGCAATTTGTCTGGGTGGGCCACACCGTGAGGAGCAGCAGCCTCACTGTGAGAGAGGGCTGATTTACTTGGAGCGGAACACAGACCGTTCCACATCCAGGGGTGTTTTTATAACAACAGTGATCTCAGTGGCAAACAATCTGAAAAAGCCAATATAACTGAGATTACAATACTTGTTAGGGCAAGAAATTGACTGGCCATCATCTAAAAACTTAACGGGGAGATTCTGAAAACAAGAAAGCCTAAGTGGTCCTTGATGCTATCCTACCTATTCCCTGTGGTCTGGAAGATTATAAATGTGCACTAAAG